TATCTATACATTGCATCTAATTTGCATATTAATGTGTTCTTGGGGCAAACCATAATGAAAAAATAAGTATAATAATGGGAGTAATAACTTGGCAACATTTTCATAAGACTATCTCATTTCATAGGAATATATAGATTCATAGGAATCTATAATTTCTTTCCCTATTGACTTCTTGTGTTTCCCCAAAATGCCTGATTAACATGATGTTTGTCCTGGTGTCCTCTACAGAAGACATGTATGAAAATTATGCCCTGTTTCGTAACAAAAAGCCATATTCCGATTTGAAACCCCATACCATTTTTCTGAGATGTTTATTTATGACAAACAATTTGAAAATTATCCAAATTACAAAACATCATATTTCCCTAAGAGTCTGTAACGAATCAGTCCACTGAAGGCGAGCGTAGTGAGAACCCAAGTGCAGTTTATTTACAGGTGATCCAAACATAATCCAAACAAGAGACACAGACTTGACTTGACGAGGCATGAGCAGACTTGACGTGGCGTAAACTAACTAGACTCACCGACAGCGGGTTACAACTTCAATACACGACGAGAGACAATGGCAACATGATGGCTACTTATAGCAAACAAGAGGGTCACATGACAAGAACAAACCAATGGGAAACAAGACACATGACTAGGACACCCAATCAGAACCATGAAACCAAACCCAAAACCCAAACCCCACATTACAGAGTGCTAAATTCGAGCATTCTGTCAATATCAGTCATATTTAAAGACCAAGGAGAGGGAGTGTTTATGATCACACCTCCAAACATTTGATATCTCTAAAAAGCCCTGAATGTGCTCTGTACAGGACAAACTGTGGCATGTATGGTCTCAGAGAAAGTCACTAAAATATAATGTCCTCTACAGAGGACAACATTTTATGCCTGGGTCCCAGGAGGAGAATAAAATGTCATCATGCATACTGAAAAAAAGAAGAGGAGATGGCGTAGGAGGACAATAAATTCCTGTTATTGTTGGTGTTATTGAAATCCCATATACCGGTATTCCTTATAGGTCTTTCAGCCATAGCATTTATGTTTTAGCGCCATGTGAAGTTGATCAATACGTTCTTTCATGTTGCATTTTTATTGGCTAGTCAGTAGACATATGTCATAACCGCAAACACACTGTGAGATGGTCATCTTAGATTTCTGACACTGCTACAAAATTATCGCATGCTATCTTTGGTCACAAGACCATGACAACGGCTGTCTTTGAACCTCTCTCACAGTACGACATAGGACCACTGTTTAGGAGCCATGACGAAATAAATCATAACGATTGTTTCACGATGGTCATCTTTTGTTTGGGACAGCCCAAAAAATCGTACAATGTATACCGGGTATTACATGCAATGCAAAACTTGCAGATGAATTACAGCACATATGCTTCCTGTTTTGTAAGAATTGGTGTGCCACTATAGGGATGCTATGCTGAATGTGCCACATCAAAGTAGAAGTTGCATGACTTCAGCGTCACGATTACTAAGCTTTCGATAGTTCTTTATTTAAGAAAACATGCCCTTAAGGTTTGAATTATGATGACGTTCAAGGTGATGCCGTTTCATGTCCCCGACAACCCCTGTAGTCTCATTGACCACTTGTTAGCAATTGCCAGTTTCAAGAGAAGTAAAATCTTTAAAAAAAAAAAAACACAAGGGGCTATTACTGATATATTGTACATTACAGAATAAAACATGAAAATATATTGAGTTTGTGTTAACAACAGACCTTATTTCAGACATTTACCCAAAAGCCTGTTCAAAAAAACAAGACAATGGATCTGGAAGTGCTAAAATGCAACTAGAACAAAACAAGAAAGCATGGAAAAAGGGGGCCTACTGTATATGATCTCATATTATCTTGATTATGCACTCATTTTAAATGGGATATATCTTCTGTGAGTATACCACAATAACCGGAATGGATGAGTCACTGTGGCGCTTTCAATTTACATTTACTCTATGTTTCATCGTCTTACAGTAAAGCACAGATATATTGTAAGTACCAATTTCTACTCTCAGTTTTAAAGTATACTTGCTATAATCTTAGGTTTCAGAAGTCAAAGAGAAGATCAAAACTCAAGAGTACATGCAAATACACTGGTCGTTAATGTCTTCCTTTATAAAACTGGATCATAAAAAAGCACTTAGTTTACCAACCAGAAGAGTCAAACCCGCAAATTACTATATTTGCCAGTTAGTGACTGAGAGTTATGCATGCTGCTAATATGACAACAGTGGCGTGCACAGACCTTAGCAGGGGCAGGGTCGTGTTTTAGGGGTTCAAGGGGCAGGCTCGTGCACGCCACTGCATAACAATATAATTTTGTTTTAGTTGCAATAAAAATCCAGCATATAACTATGTAAAATAAGTGTCAGATAATAGCAAAAGAGATACAGGCCAAACCATAGAAATGACTCTCTATTTAAAATACTTCAGCCTGTTTTAAAGGTCCTCATGCTTTGTAGGTCTAAGTACCAGTGGTTTTGGACTTTATACTGTTTATTTACCAACTGCTGGCACTTCACAGCAGTTGTTGTGTTGCTTTAATGGTGTTTTGTTTTCTCCAAGTGCAATTAATTTCTTAATGCATTAAACCTTTTAATTAGCAAATAATTACTGCATGCACATAACTAACTGATATAGGCTATAAACCAGAGATCCACGTGTTAACCAACCAAACATGAATTATTAACTGAAGTCAATTGTGCAAGTCACTTAATTATTCAGAGACGCACAATTATCCTAATTCAGTCATTCTAAGTGAATAGGCAAATGCACGAGAGAAGGTCATCTCATCTCATCTCAACTCCTCGAGCAGTCCTTCACTAACGTTACCTGTAAACACGTTCTTATCGCGCGTATTCTACAGTACACTGGTCAAAGTTCACTAGTATGTTCACATAGCTATTATTTATTTGTAGCCAAACCAAGTATAATCGGTAGGTTCCCCTAATTATAAAAACAGCGCATTTCAGCGTGTTCTACGTCAAAAGCAGAGCTGAGTTTAAGGAACCGCCCTAAAGCCGGTGCTGTAACGTGATCTAACACGCGGCTGTGAATCTCTTGCTCGCTCATTCGCACTGCAGACTGTCGCGCAGGCTTTTCTGATATAAGTGAGGAGCCACGACCCTCAAAATTACCTCTAGGCCTCAAGGGCAAATAGTCATATATTCATCCTCCACTGCCAATATTTAATATCGCTGTAATCCCGGTGCCATTTCGGACTTTCAACATGGGGGAAAAGCTCTCGACATGGACGCTTCTAGCGGTCTTTTCTCTGCTGATAGTGAAAGGTAAGCGCTGCGCCCCTCTTTGTTGAACCCGGTGCCATGTCTGATTCATAATTTTTTTTGTCGGCACCGTAGGCAAGCATTGATTTAAAGCTTTTTGACTTTTAGGCAGCCTTCGTTTTTATGAAAAGCACTAGGAGCAGGAATCACATAAATCACCGTGTTTGAGTTGCGTTTTAACATCTGTCTGGGTTTAGATCATATGTCTGGGTCGAGCCATTGCTACTGCGCTGTGCATGACATGCTGAGGCTCAACAAATGATGCTCATCTAAATACGAAAAATTAAATTAAGTTTATTGCGTGGTGAGACGTTTTAAATCTGTCCGTTAAGGATATTAGCCTAATGAGGATGAGAAGAATATTACTGTTCTTGACTATTGAATATTAAAAGTGCATCACTAATAATAATCTCTTGTATACTATTTTGTTTCCCCATGCGCAAAGCTGTATTTAGGACTATTTAAGACATTGCTATGAATAGATTTGCTTCTTTATTAAACAGTGGGTATCATATTCACGTGTATTTAAACATCAATCACTGGGGTGTCTTTTAATTAGGTTTCGCTTATTTCATGAATTAACATCGTCATGTATTTTAAAATAAAATTATATTAATACCTTGCCATGACTTGTAATATTTTTACCAATTCATGGTGTTTTGCAGCCCTCATTAGAGAATGAGATGCTTCATTTACCTTTTCTAACGGCATTAATCATGTTTTATATCTGGGCTGAAAAATAAAAACAAAACAATACTGTTCAGTACTGCTTGAAATTAAATATGTTCACAGAACAATATAATTTCCACATAGTCTCCTCATCCTAGCACGGTACAGGTATCCTACGTTGGGAGGCTTAAGAGTCAGAGCGCATGCGCATACGAAGCCACAATGCGCCCAGGTACAGCATAGGAGTTTGGAATTTTTTGGAGACTGCGGAAGATAGGAAGATACCATCATTTTATGACAGGGGGTGTAACGGTCCCCCCTCTGTTGGTGTGAGGCACACACGAGTACAATGTCAAAAGATCCATGCTTGTATGAGCAAAATCAAGTTGGCGTATGAAAAGAATGACATCCTTTTCTAAAAAAGACTACTTTGAATACTGTTTAGAAGCACAGAAGATCCCCTAAAAATCCCCTTACCTAACCCACCATTGAAATGAATGAGGAACGCCAGCGTCTGCAGTTCTGGAGGTAAACTGCCCCTCCCTCTTTTCCTGTTAGCCACACCCCGCAATTGTATATGTAATTAGATACATGTTTACACTCCCTTACCTGAAAACTCATTGTATATTTATGAGCATATAGTTTTACCACTGTTTTAGGTGTTAGGCTCATGTTTTGAAATGTTTGATTTTAATTATATTTGTCAGTAAACAATTAATACCATGCCATATGAATAACCAATGAAACCCAAAATTAAAACATATTAACTAATGTACTGTATTTAAACCCATAGGTATTTGTTGTGAATGGGAAAAACATCAGATAGATTCACTGCTGTCACATGACGTATTGATCTCATAGCAGTGCGTCAATGCTGAGTTGGCTTTGCGCTGCATGAGGGGTGACTGTTGCTTTTAGCTTTTAGCTAACCTAATGTGCACTAAGACAACCTATAACTGAACAAGGGGGTGGGGGTGGGGGGGCAGAAGAGGCAGACAGAAAGAGGGATTAGAAAAAGACAGTGGGATAGACCGATTAAAAGAGACATAAAGAAATATAGAAGTTTAAAACTGATCCCATTGGAGTGTTGCACCACATTATCTGTGACCCAGTGCTAAAAATATATGGTAGACATTCATTGCATAAGACATGGAGAGTTGAGTCTGGCTTATTACAGAAGAAACCATTTAGAAATGTACTGCTAAAAATGACACATGGGGGAAGAATCTTTGCAGAAACTTCTTTGTTGTGTAGGACATGAGCACAAAAGATTCTTTGTCCCTTTGTGCTTGAAGAATGCATTGCTAAGCTGTCATTTTCTTGTCTTTGTTAAAATCCAGGAATGCAGCGGCACTACTGTGGAATTTGTATCATAAAGAGTCTTTAGTAAAGCTGGGCATCAGATCCAGTTTTAGCATTAGCATCATCTGAGATTTTTATTATGGTACTGCATACTGCCAGTATTGCAGTCAAATAAGAATATTACGGGGCTTGGATGATCTGTGTGAACAAAATTATGCATTTACAGGTGCATCTCAATAAATTAGAATGTCGTGGAAAGTTCATTTATTTCAGTAATTCAACTCAAATTGTGAAACTCGTGTATTAAATAAATTCAATGCACACAGACTGAAGTAGTTTAAGTCTTTGGTTCTTTTAATTGTGATGATTTTGGCTCACATTTAACAAAAACCCACCAATTCACTATCTCAACAAAATAGAATACTTCATAAGACCAATAAAAAAAAAAAATTAGTGAATTGTTGGCCTTCTGGAAAAGTATGTTCATTTACTGTACATGTACTCAATACATGGTAGGGGTTCCTTTTGCTTTAATTACTGCCTCAACCAGGTGCTTTGAGTTGATTAGCTGATTGGCATGCCACCATATTCTAATTTGTTGAGATAGTGAATTGGTGGGTTTTTGTTAAATGTGAGCCCAAATCATCACAATTAAAAGAACCAAAGACTTAAACTACTTCAGTCTGTGTGCAATGAATTTATTTAATACACGAGTTTCACAATTTGAGTTGAATTACTGAAATAAATGAACTTTTCCACGACATTCTAATTTATTGAGATGCACCTGTATATGTAAGCAATAAGGTATGAGAGGCCGTGCTATATTGTGAATAAGTCACGACTGAAGGGCGTTGTTTGGCACGATGTGAAGCACTACTCAAGTACCTTATTGCTTTTATAAAACAGTTACAACACAATACAAATATTAAAACCAAAAATTCATGTATTGATATGTTACTTTTTTGAAGTAAATTCATTAAATGTTATCCTTCCACTAAAAAATAGTACCTGACAGTGACAGTAAATGGCAAGAAAATGTTCCTGTAACAAGCCTCATCTTGTGGAGCTCAAATAAAAAACAGAGAATAGGAACTGTTCTCATCCGCCGTGTCATTTATTTTTACACCATAGGCTATGATATTTTCTTACTCACTTATATCCGCTTATCTCTCAGCATGAGAAAACATCTGTTTTTGTCTTTTAGTAGAAAAAAGACTGATTCGCGGCACAGTGCAAATTTGCAAGCATCATCACAGTGTGGACATACAGCATCAGTGGACATCACAGGACATACAGCATCATACCTGAAACATAAAACTAATAAATACAGTAATATTCCTTCTGCACTATGGAAACTGTGGGCTTCCACACAGATGCTCACATATCAATGTATCTCCCGCACGAGAAGAGTTTCTTTGACACTGGGAAGGGTGTGGCCTCAAAATTAAAGGTGAATGAGTGACGCAACATAACGTCAGCAGGGGTCATTTATAATTCCTTACATAAATAATAAAGTTAATTTTGCTGAAATACATAATACATGGAATGGTTTTGACACTATACTGAGCGTTTATGTTGTTAAGGGTGGTTGCTAAGCGTGTTGCGCAGTGAAATACACAGAACCGCTGAGTGAAGCGATCATAGCCGTGCTTTTATCGTGAATAAAACACAGCGGCTGACCAATTAGTGCACAAATATTTTGTGAATGTTTCTTATTTTGTGTGTTTTACAGGAATAAGTCAGGATCTGGACTTGGCAGATGCATTTGACAGTGATGAACTAAGTAAGTATGACAATTATGATGATGCTTCCATGTAAGGATGACAGCAGTATTATAGATTTGTATAAACAGCATTGCCTTTCACTGTACAAAAATCCTTTTCTTTTTACAGAAAAAGCTGTGTTTGCCGGAATGATTCTGTAAACATACAGCGAAATGTAAACATACTTAAAAAACAACTAAATTTATTTTAGTTTAAAACTGTAATTAACAAATAAATATATTTTTACATGTTTAAAATGTTAACTGTAAACTATAAAATGACTTGTTCTTTTTCACTGCCACAAACTACATGTAACAGTATTTTACTGTAAAATTACATGAATTTGTAAGGTTAGATCTATTACAGTTTTTCACCATAGTAAGGAACTTACCAGTAACCAATTAACATTTTTTTTCTGTAGCATTTTTAGTCTGTTACATTGCATACAATTGTTTTTTACAGTGTAGTGTCAGACGGCTATTATTTTGTGTATCAAGTTAACTTTTTTTATTTTTTATTCTCCAGCTAGCCCACCACCTAAAGTGAACCCAGCAGGTGGTGCAGGAGGAGCAGGTGAAGGTAATCATTAATAGCACTGTAATAAGCAGAGCAAATGCTGACTTAAAATAACTGTCAAAGGAATTTAATACTTTATTTAAAATAATCTGAAAAAAATTGTTAATTTGTTCAACAGTGAAACCCAGTCTTAAACCTGTTAAGCCCACAGTCAAGGAACCAGCAAAGCACAAGCCCAAACAAACAGGTGAGAGGCACTTAATGTATCCCAGATGCTTGTTCTGCTTGAGATGAACATAAAGCAAATCTCCCTTCTAATCTTCTTCAATAACCACTGGAGCTATTAACATCTTTGAATGCTGAAACATATGGTTTTTGTGTCTTGTGTTATGATGAGTCAGCGGGATATTTACCCTGATAGAAAGCTCTTAGAGCTCATATATGGTTATCTATGGTCAAAAAACATTGTGTATGGTTTAGGTTGGGGAGTTGCCTATATTGAACACTGAAGAATGTAAAAGAAAAATCTCACAAATACTTACTACTTTCCTGTATTTTGGTGCTTACTAATCAGTCTTCATCATAGGTTTGAATACCCAGCACCCTCTGTATGTAAAATGCTTTACAATACTAACATATTAACTAACCTCCACTAACAGAAGAGACATTCACTGATTTGTTTGATGCCACCATTCGACCAGGCCTGTTGCTCCGAACACCCCCTAGTCTTCTCCGAACCTCTGTTCCCCCTCGGAAAGCCCAGTCTGGTTTGTACCGTGCTGTCAGTTTCCCTGTAGAACCGATCATCGCGTTTGTCTCCATGTCTGTTTGCATGTAGATATGTGTATTCAAAGCAAGTTTAAA